AAAAATTTAAATAACTACAGATAAATATCTATTTACTGTATTTTACACTATACTTACCAAATAAATTAGTTGAACGGCGAACTGAACGGAACGAAAAAAAACTTCTTGTCTATCAAAGCATTACGGTACGACATTTCATATCCGAAACTCGTAAAGCGCATGCGCAGTTAAGGGGAAACCACTAGAATTATTATGGCAAACTCATTTTGATAAATGAATGGCTAAAAATAGACTACGAATTGAATATAGCGGTAATATTAATTTATAAATAACTATCGCGACCAACATTTTTTTTTCCCCTCCCTCTGTGGAAACAAAAATTTCAGGACATTTCAGGAGAAATTTTAAAATTTAAGGAGTTTTCCAGGATTTTATCATTTGTTTTCAAATTCCAGGAGATTTCCAGGAGCTCCTGGAATTTCAGGAGGCCGCGGGAACCCTGGCTGATGCAACCTGTTTGGCTTAATGAAGATCAACTACTTTTATAAATATGTGAATGTTTTTAATGTGCTGAAAATGATAAATTTGTGTTGTGTAAATACCCATTTTTTATTGCATTCCTTGGGCAGATTCTTTGTTTCCTCAGCTTACATCTATTAATTTATTATTAAAAACATTAACATGTTGTACAATATTGTGTAAAATTTGTAAAGATATCTTACTTTGTTTTTGTTTTTTTAAATTTGAAGTCTGTAGTAAATTCTTAGATTTTGTGAATATGCCTTGCTGAAATTATTTTTGTACAATATTTTGTTGTTTTCACCTTTGCCTGATAATTTCACATTGATAAGCTTTAAATTTCATTTTACTTGACTCCTATATTTTTATATTGCTTAATTGACTATTTTTTTAATGGACTAAAATGGACTTTTTGTCACCTTTTTTAATATTTTCTAAAATTCTGCATCGGTTCATTTTTGTTTGAAATAAATTTGTAATTACATTCTAGTAACAACCCTACAAAAATTGTATTGGTTATATGTATAATTGGTTGTGTGTGCGGCTGCAAGAGATTTGAAAGTTCCAAAAAAGTAATTTTAGAAGAAAGAGGGTATCAAAACTACAGTTATGTCATCTAAAACTTCCAGGCTAGTATATATGTCATCTAAAACTTCCACCCATAGTCTTATATCAC